TGCACACAGGCTAGAGGCAAGAGTAATCCCCCAACTGTCAAACCTTTTAAGCTAAGACCAGAACATTCATCAAGAGTGTCTGTCTTTAACATACCCACTTACTCCCTACAGTTCTCCCCAAGGAGGGGCTTCCGGGACCCCGGGTTGCAAGCCATTCCTAGGTTCAATGCTGCCCCTCACCCACAAGCCTCAGAGGAGGAGTGAGCACCTCTTCTTTTACTAGGCAGCTGCTGGCTGGCTGGCTGGGGTTCTCTATTTGGTTTTTCTCAGCCCCCAGAGACCACCTCATTCCCTAGAACAGTTTAACGACAGTTCCTGGGCTGCAATGAAGTTGATCTATTTTCAAATCTAATCAGAACACAAGCGATCAATAGCTGTCTTTGGTAGGGTCTAGTGCTCCCGAGCACTGTTGATGCCCATTAGGGAAGCTGATTACCACCTCCACTCAGCTGGCGGCTGAGGATGCAGGCACCAGGGAGAGAGCACTCACTTCCCCATGGGAAGCTCCGCCTCCTCCCGGTGCCCGCAGCCCCCATCCTGCTCCACGTATGCCGCCCCGACCTTCTGCCTTCTCCCACCACAGCATGCAGGCTGCCTCCACCTCCAGGGGCTCTGCTCTTTCCTTCCATTCACACCTGGTCCTGCAGGAGTCTCGAGAGCCGAGTGCAGTTCCACGCGACATGGCAGTGTGGACTCAGGGTTTGTAAACTCTCGCTGCATTGGCAGTCCCCTCTGCAGACCTGCTTAAAGGTCAGCACCAGAACCTCCTACTTCTGACAGTCCCAAGTCCAGAGGAGGAGCTCAGCGGAACTACAGGCTGTGGAAAATGCTCTGGCTGCTCTACGGCGGAGTTCAGCCATAGACTAGGAGCCAGCTGGTGCTGGCAGCAATGCGGTCAGTCTGCCATTGGGATGCTGAGAGCCATGGAGACCACATCCAAGAAGGCCGAGGAGAGGCAGCTGAGAAAACCTAGGAAGGAGCAGCTCCATTTTCTATTAAAATAATTTGTCCAAAGGCTGCCTACAACAAATTGCTTTCCATCCACTTCCCCACAAGCTCCAATTTCCACCTCTGCAGGTTTTAATATTCTTACCAAGCCATTAGGAGAGAGAGCAATCGCAATTACCCTCAGTACGAAATTCACTTTCCAGCAAGGATGCGAGTCAACCTTGACACGCTGATGTTAAACAGTTTGAATCCAGGAGAAAACAAAAAATTCTTAAGTTAGAAAGAGCAAAAATTCTGAGTTTAAGAAATGTTCTGATCTTCCTAGGAATAAATAAATCATAGAATTTTGCACCTAGAAGGGATCTTAAGGATATCCAGTCCGACTGCACTTTACAGACAGGTGAGGTACATTTCCCAAGGTCACAGGGCTGATAAGGATAAGAGCTGGCCCTGGAATCTGGATGCTCTGCCTCCAGGTCTGCCTTTCACGTTGCTAATTCTGCCTTCAAAGCTGTCTTGCTTATTGTCAGAGGACTCTCATCCTTTGAAGGGTTGAAACCTGCCTTAAAAATCAGTGTGGGCACCAAGATCTTGGTTAAAATGGGACCTGGATTTGGGCAGGGACCACCCATGACTAATGACTATGTGTCTAGAGCTGGTTGCAGTGCTGGCATGAACAAGGGTCCCGACAGCACCTCGGAAGGAAGGACACCAGGGCCCAGGGAGTGTTACCTCACTGTTAAGCTCCAGCAGAACCAGGGCTCACCAGTGGGTGGAACTAGGAATTCCCCTTCCTCTTGGCCTAGCTGCTGAGTCCTTGAGGCTTGCCCTTTTGCGGTGCAAAGCAGCCTGGAGTCTGAATAACTGGCGACACTTTAAATAGTTCTTTCTTCTCCAGGCTGCTTCTGCTCCCCTCGGGCCCCCCTCGTGACGAGCGCCAGGACTGTCAGGACCTCCTTCTGCATCAGTGCCCTGGACTGAAACACTGGCCCTTTTGAGAGGAGACAGTGTCTGTCTGGGTAGGAGAGGCTGCACTGGGGCCAGGAATCCAGAGACTGAACCAACGCGTGGCTTTGCGAGTTTCTGCTTCTCTCAACTCTGGCTCAGCTAAGTCCCTGGTAGAGCAGCAGTCAGTAGCCCACACACACTTGTGTGGGATCCACAGGCTCGTAAGGGCTGTTTCAGCCTCCTTGCTTCCTGAGTGGAACTGTCTGATAAGCCCAGGTTTTGTTTAGAGCAGGGAAGTGGGTGAAATGATCCAAAACAGAGATCTGAAACCTCCCTCACCAGTGGCCTCAGAGCAATACATAGTCTCAAATGTGGAGTGGGAGATGGACAGAAACCAGAGGAGCACACACACCCTGCAGCTGGAGAGAAGGACAGGGGGTTCCAGGAATGTCAACAGCAACTGCCCAGCAGAGAAGTCTGGGCATAAATGAGTCCAGGCAGGTCTGCTCTTCAGATTCCTGAGAGGCCACACCCCGAGGTCTGCATAACCCCTGTAAGCAGGGCTGGGGGTCGTCACACCTGAAAGCACTCTGCAAAAGGACAAGCAGTCCCCGAAAGACAAACAGGCGAAGTGGCAAAGCTTCAGCCAGAGAATCTCTGGAATGGCCCAACCACTACTCCCAAAGGTGTGGCTGGTTTTGAAAAATACCAAATTAATGAGAACAGAGGTGTAAAGCTGTGCCGGGAACCTTCTCTTCCTCATTCTGATATTTCATGTCAAGACTCTAAAGTGACAGACCTGAGTCCCAAACTGCTGGCCAGACCTGCAGCATCCTGCAGCTGAGCCACCTGACCAGCAGGTGAGGACTGGGGGGGGGCCCTGGGGAGACGAACAGCACCAGTGGGGAGACCTGTGGAGGCCAGTGCCTGAGTGCACGGCTGGTTACCAGGTCCACAGCCATCGCCTCGTGGGGCTCCAGTCAACACAGTGTGAAGAAATGGTACTTTACTCTCTGGACAGAGACCAGAATTCAGAGTCTATCTGCCTAATAAAATGAAGTGCCTAAGAGAAAGTGCCTGAAATCACTCAGGATGGTTTACTCTTTCATGAGTTCATGGCCACAGAATCCAGGATTCCTAAAATTGAAATGCTTGTTAAGTTTTTCATCACAAGGAAAACTTTCTGGCAATAAAAGCATCTTTAATGTGAGAGGGCCCTGTGAAGCAGGAACACACATCACCCTAGGAGTTCTGAGAACCTACCCCACACCTTGGAAACAGACCTGAGGGAACACTCTGGAACCCCTTTACCTGGCGTACCTCATGAAAAAAGGTCAAGATGTTGTCCTAATAACTCACTTTTCCTGAGAAAGAGGCAGCAACCACCCCCTCCCTCCCCAACATCCAGGACGTGCCAGAGGAATCGCATCAACGTTAACACCTCGTGTTGACTCCCTCTCCCTAGAATGGAGGAAATGCTGATGGTGGAAGGCATGAACCCCTCACTCTAAGTCAGCATTCCCTGAGAACTGAGCTTCACAGTGTGCCCGTGATAAAATCCTAATCAGAGTAGCTTCTCCAGAAAATGGTTGGAAATGGAAGAGAGAATTCTGTATACTCTCAAAATTGGATTTTGCCAGAGGAGACATATTTCCTACTTTGGAATTGGGATCTTGAATTATAGCTTCTGGTTTAAAGAGCATATGATGTTGCAGAGGCCCAAGAGAACTGCATTGTCATTTTCTGCAAAGAAACAGAAAGTGGACAGAGGTGTTGTACGTTAAGAGAATGGACCACTCCAGCCTGAATATCACCAGCAACCTTAAGATGAGGAGGATGCAAATGACCTGCAGACTCAAAATAAACCAACCAAGGGAGAAAACTCCTATAAAAAGCAAATGGGTTAAGTACTGAAAACGGGTCATCCTCAAGAACCAGTGGTTGATTCTGTGCTGGATTAATGGAGCCATCTGTCCAAGTCTGGGCATGGTATTTTAAAGGCTGTTTCTGTGCAGAGGACGGCGGCCACCGTGTGACAGGCAGGAGAAGTGTGCCACGTGAGGAATGACTTAGAGGACTGGGAAACACCGGCTCGAAGCAGGGTTCAGGGGAGTCACCAAGTGCACGCACGTGAAGGGCTGTCATGCTGGAGGGTGGCAATGGATGATCAGAGAATCCACAGTCAGACCTCTACTCACAGCAGGAAGACTTCCTGGTTGTTAAGAGTTGCTCAACTTAAGAGTAATAAATGCGAAGCTGCCAGAGGCTCCCCGACCAGGGGTGGGAGCTGGGGCAGCGGGCCTCTGGCTTTGCCATCCTAAGATTCCGTGACTCATCAATGGGCTGAAAGTATCTTATCTCTTTAAACTTCTATTAAGAAGTCATTTCTCCTGTTAGCTCCTAAGAAAACAAAGGTCCCTCCCCTAAATCTAGCCACCAGAAATAATCAAATTCACCACCATTCTCACAGCACAACGGGCTGTCATCTTCCATCTTCTTTGCCACAATGTTGTAAGTGTCCTCCGATACTCTACTTACACTATGTCTTTCCAACCTGCTTGCACTCCCCAGCCCATCTCCATCAATCTGCCCGCCCCTCTCATGCCTCCTTGCAATGACCTCATTTCTCATTAGGAGTGGGAGCCAGAATGAAGAGAAGAAAACAAGGTCAAAGGGAGGTGAGGCAGAATGAGGCGTTCAGAGCCCGGACTTTCTTAGAAAACCACTGTGCGGGAAAACAAGTGGGAGAAGAGAACAATAGGCTGTGACATAGGCCATGGTCTGGCTTTACAGGGAGGGGGCTGGTGGTACCACCACCAAGGCAATTCTTCCCGTCTCCAGAGTGCCCCAGGAGAAATGATTTTACATAAGGGCCAAAGACAACTGAGGTGGGGCGCTCTGTTCTGGCTTTTATACCATGGGGTGAGGTGGGTGGAGGGAAGGCAGAAAGGAAAATAAAAGGATGGAAAGGAGAGGAATAAATGAAGCCCTGGGGAGAGGACTAGGCATGAGGGAGGAAGAGGGGGTAAGACTAGGCAGGGATATTACTGGGTTGTGGACAGAAAAAACAACAGTAACACCAGTGGGGAGTTAGAGAACAGTCAGTTCCTGAGAGGTGAAGACTAGCAGAACCCTCAGTGCAGTGGCTGTCACCTGGAATCTGACGTGCACACAGCTCCAGAGGCTTTCCGATGGTTATTCCAATATTCTGCTGCTTCTCTTGGCATCCCGTCAGGGTCCTGGAGTGGCCGTCATTAGACTCACCTACACCAGAGGGCCTGGGTCAGGGTAAAAGGCCATGGGGCACTGGTTTGGGCAGAGGCCTTACATGTCTGGACCAAATCCAATGTGGACAAGCAGCAGAGCAGCAGAAGTTGGGGTCCACAGCTGAGCCTGGTGCACGCCCCAAAGCCTTCTCCACACGGCTCGAATGGTCACAATCATGCTTCAATTAAACTGTCATAAACTCAGGGGTTGGGGTATAGGAGGCACGGAGCACTGAGAGGAGAAAACATGTACAGTGCAGAGGTGACTGGAGGCGGCTCAGGGAGCTGTCCTTCCACCAGACAGTCACTTCTTTTGGCTGGAAGGCAGTGGCTGGAGAAGAGGGGTGGGCAGCAAATGCCGTGCATTCCCTCCTAAAGCCAGAGCCCAGTCTATTTGGACAGTTTGCTGATGACTCTGATGAGGGCACCATTTTCATCTTTCAGCCTCTGGTTGTCAGATTTCAGTTCTGTTAACACCTGTAGGGTGACAGAGGGAGACGTGTCAGCGTCTAGCACGACCACCTCCTGTGGCCTCCCTGACCAGGCCCGGCCAGTCTGGTGAGCAGGGCCTTCTGAGAAAGCTTATGTAGTGAACTGTCACCACCTCCTCTCCCAGGGATGACGTTCTCTTGACTCCTATTTGTTGAGCTGGTAACGTTAATATTTAGGGAGACCACAGCTCCTCCATCTTTTGAACTAGCATATTTAGCAATAATATCTTATTTCTTTGTATGCAGCCTTCATGTTCCACACCGTATAGCCTTTCATTCTTCTGAATCAGTAACTATTTTCAATGGTTCTGCCCTTGAACTCACCTCTAGTCTAGAGAAATTGGGGAGAGTACCCAAGTGAGCTGCTGATGACATAGGGAGGAATTCAGAAAGGAACTGAAAAGAGTTAAAAGAAGACACTGCTTCACAGCCATCAATACAGGAGTGCAGGGGAGAGGGGCAAAACCCGGCTTTCCTATCACACCCACAAGATGATTTAAGGGTCCCTCTTCTGGTGCCTTCTGTGATAGAATCCACCAGAATTCTTGCTGGTCATGCTACACGTATCCAATTTCAACCACTAAAACCCAGGGAGCTGAGGGATCTGGTCACCACAGAGCAGAGGCACAGAGAGCACTACGTACAGATTTATTCTCCCCCAAAGCTTCCCATTGACAGTTACGAAGGGACAGTTATGAAGTGATGACGCCAGGAGGCCTCATCAGCAGTTTTAGGGGATGGGGTTGTCATTCCAGGAAATAGGCGCTCTGGAGGGTGGGAGAGGGGGGACTTCAACTCCATCAGTTCTGCCATCCTGGAACGTTACACATTGTGTCGTCCAATTTGTGAAACAAAGGGAAAAACCGCAGCCCCGAGCCCCCGCCTGGATACCACATCTTCATACGTGATCAGGCACTTCGACGGGCATGTTGTGCATCTGAACCCCAGTGAGACTCTCATAAGGGCACTGTGTGTGTGTGTGTGTGTGTGTGTGTGTGTGTGTCCTGGGGGCAGCAACAGAGAGTCAGGTCAGAGGGTGTGAACTTCTTCCCCACAAAGGCCACAAACATCGACATCCACCTGTTCAGTGCAGAAGCCCTTCCACTGACTGGTCATTCAAGCCTACAGGACCCGTGTGGCAGGCCATGTGCCCAGCAAAGGGTCGCTTGGTTCAGGTGTCATGAGGCCTGTTTAGTCCTGGTTCTGGCTCTGCTACTAACCATTTAGGGGAGCTAACTGTACCTGAAAGAAGAGAACTGTTTCCTCAATCTCTTATGGAAGATGTAGGCTAAATTATGCAAATATATATGCGTATGCACACACGTACTCATCACAGATGCATAAAGAACTGTACCAGGGAACAAGAGAAGACATCACTGAACGCCTCCACTGGGAGGCTGTGCTGGGGGATCTCCTCTGTCTCATCAGCACCTCACGAGTCTGTGGTGCTCTCACCCTTATGACTACAGATGAGGAAATCAAGAGTCTCATAACTGGTGCGAGGCACCCAGCTGTTAAGCAGCTGGCAAAGCTGATGCTGAACCCACGTGTGCCTGACTCCAAAGATCAGTCCTTCATTACATATGGGACGTGGGGTGGAAAACAAAACACCGGAGTCCAGAAGCTGAAATCCCAGCACTGTCATCATCATTCATGATCTGTATTACCGTAGACAAACCATGCAACTTCTCCGGGTTTCCATTTTTGTGTCTAAGAAAGAGAAATCTCTGCCCTCGTTCCTCATACAGCAGGGGCCCTGTGCAGCCCACAGGTAGTGTGCTGACACACACACTGTGCTGTGACACTCAGCATTCCTACTACTACTAGGAGGTGGGACGGCAGGCAGGTGATGTACGAATTTACCAAGAGGACTTCCATGCAGAAATATCAAAATGAAGTCTCAGTCCTTTGAGCTGCCTCTGCTTCTTCCAACCCCATCAAAGGAGCCCTGGCTGCTCTCTCCCTGTGGCCTTGACTACCAGAACAGAGTGCTCAGAAATGCATTCCACGAGTTTTGGAAAAAGCCCACAATGGCTGCAAAATGCCTCGCCTTCCCATCTGCTCTCCAATGCCCGTCCTGGGGCCAGCAGCCTGAGAGCCATACACATTTCCATAACAGGCTTCCATAGGCGGGGAAGAAGCTATATGTGGCAGTGGATTGCATTTCACTGCTGGCAACTCATCAAATCAGATCTGAGCTGCCCTTGTCTAAAAAAAAAAAATGTACAAACAACTCGTTGAGCCTTGGTGATTTATTTCCACATTGAGAACTCAGTTCTTTGAAAAAAAAATTGGACAAGCAATTTCCCAGCTGCAACATGCTACAACTGACATCTTAAGGGAGTGTCAAAAAGTACAAGAAATGGAATGTAGAAATCAAGGGGGAAAAAGCCTCATAAACTTGACTCTCAAAAGAGCGAGGAGGAAATGAACAGTGTTATCTGATACTCACTTGAAGTTAAAGAATGATTAAATAAGAACATATGTGAATGCACTATAAACGAGGAGGTTTAACAAAGCTTTATCATTTCAACTCTCAGATGTCAGTTTTCTTAATTTCTAAATTTCCAGTTTACCACAGTTTGATGTTGAAGTATCTTGGATAAACGAAATTAACTACTATGTTTTCTCAAATATTACTTCTTTGATGTAATCAAACCCTTTGATGAGGAATGTGTTACAGAGGAAGAGGATGTAGGGGTCCTGAAGCTGCAGAGACCCAGGGTGAGGCCAGGTGTAGGGTGACAGGACTCACAAGGAGCCCTGCATGAGCTGCCTCGCTTTCAACTATCTGGGAAGTGGGGAGGGAGCCCTGCTTATAGTTGGTTGGTAAGTGGTTTGCACTACACACGGAGATATGATAATTTCTCCAGGCAATTATTAAAAACAACAACAAAAAAACCAAAAAGGCAGGCAAACTCTCTTGCCTACACTGTCGGTTTGGCTTAGTTATGTCATCTTTCCTTCTGGGAGGGGTCAGCAGGTTTTTCCTGTAAAGGGCCAGGGAGTGAATATTTTAGGATTCTGCTGGCGCAGCCTGAAAGGGCCACAGACACAATGCCAATATGTAAACAAAGGAGCACGGCTCAAGGCCAATAAAACTGTCTTTTCGGACACTGAAATTTGATTCCATATAATTTTTATGTGTCATAAAATATTCCTTCTCTTTCATTTTTTTCCCAGCTATTTGTATGGCTCAAGGGCCATAGTGGTGGGCCCCAATTTGCTGACTGACCCGTTACAGAAGATCATGTGCCAGCTTCCGGCAGCTAAGTGGCTCTTGAGAGGTTGACCTTCAACAGGAAGTCAGGTGCTGAGAATGCTGCCCTCAGCTGCAAGGCTGGGGTGCACTGTGGTTGTTCAGTAGACCCTTCTCTCACTGTTGACACCACACGCTTCACAAAGGCTGAAGCTCTGAGCCACACGTGCACATGGCTCCCATCACAGGCTCAGACTTGGGCCCTGGACCCTGGGTACACGGTCTGAATTCTGCTTCTACCACTTACTCTCTCAGTGACCTTGGGCAAGTTACTTCATCTGTAACTTGGTTTTTCCAAATGTAAAATGATAGTTTTGGGGAATAAATGAGAAAGCACATAGAAAGCCCTCAGACCACTGCTACCATGCTTATCAACCACTGAAAGCATCAAATCTAGTTTTGCCCTATATCTTATACTATCTTGGACAAAGAAGGAAACTAAAAATAACTGGGGCACTTTTGAGGATTCCTGGTTCACACCAAGTCCAATTTTCTAGGAATCTTGAGGCTGATTTTAGAGCACAGAGTCTGGGCCTCACACAAGGTCCTGTGAACAGGGTAGCTAAGCTGCCCGGGGGCCAGGCCGTGGTAGCACTTCCCTTCCAATGTTCTTTCTGTGTGTGACAGCATCTACAGCAGGACATTAGCTCAGCCCTCTGGTCATCTGGGCACTTCTGACCTAGCTGCCAGCTACTCACCCTTAAGACATGAGCCAAGAGGCAGAAACAAGACCAGGCCTGGTCAGGACTAACTAGATTGTTGCTGGAAAAAACACTCATTTCAGAGAGAAACTTCTCAGCAGTGGTGACTCCATCACACCATCTTTGGGCGGGAAAACAAGTTATCTAGGAGCTTGTCTTTCAGATCCACATCCAGGGAAAGGCTCTACTTTGCCAAACACATTTTTTGGTTCTCAGTTGAAAATTAGTCCCTGCTCTCTGCTCCATAGCCTGTGATCTCCTTTGTAAAGCTGGCCGCACTGGGGACGGCCTGGTCATGTGGGGATCTTGTTTAGACAGACTGTGTCCTGCCTCACAGCCTACACACTGGAGGTGGGGGAACACATCCCCAGGACCCAGAGAATTGTGATGGGTGAGAGCAATGCCCCCCAAGGAGCGAGAAGAAGGCAAAGACTACTGCGGAGGAGGCCGAGAGAACTTATCCGATCCTAGTCAAATGGCAGATGGAGAATGTTCTTGCTGGTAGTAGAGCTGGCCAGAACAGCACCAGCCTTCAGATATGGTCCTCCCCGCCCAGTATGTCATCAGATGTGGGGAGTCAGTTCTGCTTGGTATCCCTGGTTCTCAACTCTGGCTTCATAAAAGAATCGACAGAAGAGCTTTGAAAAAATATCGGTGCCTGGTTTCAACCTACCCACTGATGCTTTGGGGGCAGGCCCAGGCACTATATATGTTAAAAGTGCCCCAGTGTTTTTATCATGCAGCCAGAGCCGAGAGCCCCTGCCCTGGGTTCCCCCAGGCCCAACCATAGTCTGGAGCCCAGGACAAAACCCAACAGCTTCAGGGACCAGGTTGCACTTGGGTTGCTGTAAACTGAGAAAGCTCGATCTCAGTTTGGCAATGACCCCACCAAAGAAATGTGTGTGTGTACATACAGAGGTATGTGTATACACATGTGGGTACCTATGGGCAGCTGAGTGAGCAAATCTATGTTCAGTCTCTAGGGGAAAAGAAGGTAATGTGCTGATCTTACCAAACAGACCACCAGCCAGACAAGGTCTCCCCGCCTCCCTTGACCTAGGCTGTCCTGTCCCACTCTATGGCCTCAGTCCTGGCTCCTTCCATCTCCAGATGACCAACTCTGACAGGAACCTGCCTATGGACGCTGTGATGGAACGGATGCACATGGAGCTTCTGGGACCGACAAGAAGAGTACACCTGCCTGGAGTGGCGGAGCAGGGAAGTGAGGTGGAGAAGAGGGGCAGGAGCTAGAGCTCCTGGGCTTCCGAGGACTCGATGGGCTCCGAGAGCCGGGCCACCACTCGGGTCAGGGCCCTGTTCTCAGCCTGCAGTTGCTCGTTCATCTGCTTCAAGGTTTGAATCTGTTTTAGCTGGTGGAGGTTCTGCAGAGAGTGAGACATGGAGGGGACAGACAGACAAGACAGAGACAAGACAGACCAGAGGAGATAAAAGGAGGACAAAGGAGTCACATGACTTTCTGTTTTTGTTTGTAGTTTTCATGCAAGAAGGAATAGGAAGGCAGGAGCAGAGGTGGTGGGGTGATAGAGAAAAGCACCAGGAGGGGAGCTGCGCCCATGACCCTTGGCTAAGGTTGAACTAGGCTGAAGGTCAGCCATAGGAACACAGCCACCCAGGCTCTTGAAAAGCTCCTCTGGATTGCTTTTGAGAATGACAGCCCACCATGTGGCTGGAGCCTTTGAACCGAATTAACAGGGTTGAGCTATAGCCTCAGGGCCCCTTCTTCATCAGGGGACTGGAGCTGAGGACTGTGTGTGTTCCTAAATCCAGCTGCAGCCCTTTTCTCCCTCCTTCCCCTCAGTTTCCCCCACACTTGGCCCCTATTCCCACTTGTTTTCTTTCTGGGGCCTTCTCTTACCTCACTTCTCATTTTTAAAAATAAAACAAGGGAGATAAAAGAGGGGCCTGTTGTTGAAGTCTTTTCTGCACGAGGCAGGTACTGTTTAGAAGGCTGAAGTGACACATACCCAAATAAGAACCTGGCAGCTGTCTGGAGGGTCCTCTAACCTGCTTTGTGGGAAGCTTCCTTGACCTGCTAGTTCTCTTCTGCAGTCCAGAAGCTTGTTCCAGGATCCAAGACCTGCTAAGCTGCGTCTGACCTGCTATGATTATCCACATCATGGAATTCACAGCTAAATGTGCTCTCTTTGTCCCAGGTGATGAAGAGGCTGGGAGCTGCTTAAAGGTGTCCACATACCGACTCACACTCTGGAAATTAGAGCTGTGCACAAAAGTTGGAGAAATCATAAGTGTCCAACAAAAACGGACCTGGCTGAACCAATGTACTAGTCCAGTCCTAACTATGTGTCAGCCCACAGATATTCTCCTAATACCTCATATCTCATAAAGGGTCCCCTAAAGATATCAACAAATGGAATTATATCACAGGCCTGCTTACTGTGACTTGTCTTTCCTAAGTGGTCATCTGCACTGACCCTGGAACTGAGCCCATCAGCTCTCTGGGGAGAGGAAACAATTTTGTTATGTGAATGGGGCTTCAGATGAAGACAGATGATCCTGTGGGTTATAGTGGCTACAGAAAGGTCACAAATATCAGAGAAAAGTCTCTCGTACCCACATGGAAGAGAAGGAGGGAAATGAAAGATTAGCGAAGTTTTAGCTGTTGGGGAATGAAGAAGAAAGAAAATGAAAGGGATGAGAGGAAAATGAGGGAAAACAGTGAAAAGGAAAAACAAGCAGAAACAAACTGCCGAATAGCTCTTTCCCCTAAAGGGAGAATGACCACTTTGGAGAAAAGCTAGGCAGCCAAACAGTCCCATGTGGCCACTGAAGGGCAGGGCCCCGGCAGCCCTCTTTCCCCACTGCAGATTCCTGGCCTCGGAGGGACAGGAGGGAGATCACGGGGCAGCACACAGAAATATTTACAGAGATGGGCAGGGACCAAATTTAAGAACCAATGGAAAGTCCCTGGCTCTCACCCTTCCTTGGTGTTGACACTGGACCAAAGCTTTCAACACAATCATTGTCATCATGTGAAGTGGTCCTTGCCTCCTGAGAAATAACACTAAAAGACCTGAGCTATGAAGATGACTCAATCTAACATGTGAGTGCAAGCAGACTGAGGTGAAAGAATTTGGAAGTTATCAGCATGAGGGAGAGAGGCAGGAAACAATCTGGTGGAACGTTCTACAGGAAGCAGTCAAGAAAACAAAATATGGCATGGAGATGGAGAACAGGGCACAGAGCAGGTGGGCAAGGGTAGGCTTAGGGGCAGGATCAGCTCGAGATGTGTCCACAGTAAGTAAAGTAAAAATTCTAAGACCAATCGGAAAGCGTATTGGTGCTGGGCCCCTCATGCAAGGACAAAAGTAATCAGGTCTCACGTGGGGACATCCCAGGGCCAAGCGCAGGCCTAGCACAGGCACGCTTACATGCACACCTGTCGAAGGCTGGCACATAATCCTAACCTCCAGGCCAGGATCTGAGTGAAGTTTCTCCTGGGGAGGATTCATAAATACTTACCTTTCCAAGCAAAGGCCAGAAGGCACACCCTGTCACAACCGCAGAGCCCACAGACATCTGGGTGAGCCCCCTCATGGCTCCCCATCAAACCTGGCCTTCACACTTTATTTGCCAGAGTCAGAAAGACAGTATCTGTATCTTCAGGGCTCAGGGGAGGTCAGCCCTCAACCTGCTCCCTGATGAGGGCTCCAAGAAGGTTTGAGCTTCTGTGTAAGTTGAATATGCAGTAAGCATGGAGGCCAACTGGCTCTTAGCTCTACTGGGCCCCAGATCTGATAAGACAGTTATCTGTTCTGTTGGCTGGCTCCCTGGACACAGAGATTTTGGTCACTCATGACTCCAGAGATGGTGGTCACCGGAAGCTGTAGTCTGGAAAAGAGCTTGGAAGCTAACCAAGAGCTTTCTTAGTCTCCTTTAGGGCCAGTCACACCAATTTTATGATGTCTGTATGTATATCTGAAGTTTTTGCCTCCAGAGAGGTGCAGACACACTCATCATAAAATCGGTGTTGCCTGGGAGGCTGTGTGCTCCTCCCCTAGTCCCCAGGGGAGCTGGCATCAGGCTCTGATGCCAGCGGAGGGCATTTGGGGGCTTCACAGCTGGCAGGTGTTTCTTCTCCATTTGGCCTTGTGATTGGTGACGGAGAATAACAGCAACTGACTGAATGGGTGGATTTTTAACTAAAAAAAATCAGTCTTGACTGAGTGTACCTATTGATTCAGGGCCTAAACAGTCATGATCTGGCTCTACTTGATAATCTGAATAACTGAATTTGAAGTTGGCTGGCAAACGACCTGGGGCTGAAGAAAGCATACACTTCATGTATTATCATCTCTCCTGAGGAAAGAAAAGAACTCATGACCTAGTTTAGAAAATTGCAGGCTGACAGGACAAGGAGACAGAAATGCGAGGGCCTGTCTCACCCACAGGACTGAAGGCTCCCATGCTTGCCAGTTCAGAATTGGAACAGAAATAAGGACAGACCCCAACTGCTCCACTTGTAGACTCTCTGGTTCTTTGTGTGAGGGCCTGAGTGGACGTGACAGAGTCCCCTGTGGTGGGGATGGCTGGCTTTGGACTTCTGGGTACTTGTTAGAAGGCACCAGCTTTGGCCTCATTACATGACCCTGATAGCATTTAGGCCATTTCTTCATGAGCATCACTGAGAGCTGCCTAACAGCAGAGTACAGATGGTATAACTCAGGGTGTGTCAAAAATAGAGGGGCCCCCAGTGCACCCAAGAGCTGTGCATATTCATTCACCTACAACTACTCAGCTCTATGAACAGACTGCTCTAAATGGGAGAGAAGACTGCTGTGCAGTAGGTGAGCTGCGTTTGGAAAAATCAGAAAGTAGAGGAGCTAATAGGTCAGATCATACTATTTTTATCATCTCAGGAGAATCAACCGTTTATTACTTCTACTTCTTGCTGTTCTGAATTAACGTGAAGGATATAAAGTGTCATTTTTGGAGACATGAGTAGGTCTTGCTTGCAAGTCTATGTACATGTGATCAGTTACTGCCTTGGGACGTGAATATGGAATGCAAGGACAGGGCCTGGCATTTCTCCTCCAGTCTGGGATTATAAAGAGTAACAGGATTATGAACACTGGATCTCGTGTGAACTTTGAATTTGCCAGGTCCTGAAAAGTTTTTTCAGTAAATAATCAACCTTTTTAGGCTGCTGGAACAATAATCGTCTCTCTCAAAGTGCTCCGATCGCACATTAGGGATGCACGCTCAGAGGGAGACCTGGGGTCGGCCTCATATCGCCCAGCGCTTCTGGTTCCCAGGGAAAGAGACCTGTTTCACCAGACGAATGGTTTGTATCTCATTATCCAGTAAAATAAGATCCCTGAAGACAGAAAAAATGCTGAGCAAGTGCTAAGCGACTGTGGGCATGTGGCATCACGCACTGCAGGCCTCAGATGCTCCAAAATCATTCCCGGTGGCTCCCTGAGCAGCTGGCTAGTCTCTGCAGCTCTATCCCCTCCCCTTCCCATGCAGTGACTTGACCCTTCTGGGGAGACTGTCAGTACTCAGCATTCAAATTGCCCAGGATGGCCGCTGTCCACTGAAGTGGCTAATGGAAGTGATGGTCACTGTAGGCCAAAGTGAGGGGGCAGAGGACAGCAGGGAGCCATGCAGTGTAACTGTGGCATCAGGGTGCCAAATAGGACTGAAGATTTCAGGGGAAAGAGACTGCGGCAGGAACATTATATGAAGAATCCTCATTCTGCTGCAGAATGACTCGGACTGTGCTCCTCCCAGCAAACGGCTGAGACAGGGAGGGCACCAAGTAGGAAGCCTCTGGCCATGCTCAGGCTTCCCCAGGTGCCTCACGGGAGGCCGCGGAGCAGGAAACCTTGTTTCACCTTTTCATCCAGCCCCTTGATGGTGAAGCCATTGCTTGGAAAACCTTATAAGTTCAATCTAGGTTTGTCTCCAGCCTGCTGGACACCTCCACTTAAACCAAAGGCGGCATTTGTTGCTGGAAGGCTGTGAGGTGGCCCCAGTGGATGCTGTGTGATCCGAGAGAGCCTCTGAAATGGCTGAGGAGAGACACTTGCCTCCTCTTCACACATCATCTCTTCTTGAGGGGCTGCGTGTGTATGGAAATTTGGAGGGGCAGGCATATGCTCAACTGCCCAGTCCTGGCAGGCATTTGGAGAACAGGCACAGAAAGAAAGGAAATCTCTCCATACCTTCATCTCTTCCTCCATCTCCGACATTTTCCGCTCCAAGGCTCGCCTCTCCTGTTTAAAAACAAGGGGACAGGTGACCACATAAATGGATTTAGAAGGGAGTCCAAATGCTGCCGCCATCTGCCATGAGATCAGCAGCTCCTGACTCAGGCAGACCTTCCAGGAGATTCCAGCACCATCTGATCCTGCCACTGAAGGATGGAACTGCTTCACTGATAAAATCACATTACTATACCTAAATCTCCGATCAGACACTTAGAATATATCTGGGGAAGCAACTTGCTAATATATAAATGGATTAAGACCAGGGCACTCTGAGCCATTCTGTGGAGGCTGAAGATTTCATGGAATTTCAGATGACTGCAAGTGACCAGGACCCTTGCTCTCTCTTAACAAAAGGACATCATGTCTTCGGTAATGTGCCCCCCAAATTCCTAGGGAAGTGCTTCTCTCCTGATGGGGAGCAGATGGTGAGCAGGGAAGCAGACATCGTGTATGAAGAAACAGCATCCCTCCTCCTAATCCATTTTTCTTTCCCAGCAGCCAACTCCTGATTTAGCCTGAATCCAGTGAAGCTTCCTTGATTAGATGAGATACCAAGGAGGTTTTGTTACAGGCCAAGGGAATAAAATATAAAACTTAGCTGCTTTCCAAATTAAACAAGAGAGATGGGAAAATATTATACCCTAAGGGTCAACTCAAAGCTAGGGTTCATCAATAAATCTGAGTTTTCCCAATCCAAGAATGTCAAATCCCAGAAAAATATTCTGAACGCAGTCAGGAAGAGGTCAGCGATTGAACCAGAAATCCTCCCCTTAGTTAGAGTGAGTGAAAGACTCTGCTGGCTCGTATTTCAAGTCTTAAGACCCAAATTAATGGCAGAGGGCCCTGCTGAAAGCTTCCTTTCTGCTCAAGGTGACAGGAAGGGTAGAGATCTTGGACCTGGGGGTGTTTGTGTGTGTGTGTGATGATTTCCAGTAAACCAAAATATACTATGGGTATGCATGTGTGCAGCTCTGCCCAGAGGCAGAACAACCTATGAGCTGACCTTCCAAGGACGCTTCCCACCCAAGGCTGGAATATGTGAAAAGTACTGGCTATCTGAGGGAGCCAGAAGGACCAGCAATCAAATTGCCATCCAGAGTCAGACAAAAAGAATTTATTATCAAGCTGGGAATGGAATGTGGCAGAATTCTCGCCTTCCTAAGACAAACTTTTTCCATTGGCATGAACAACAAAGTTAGAGAAATTCAGAAAGAAGAGATGAAACAGAGGAAAGAGACACAAACATACCCGCTTCTCCATCTCCAGCATTGATGATCGGTCAGAGGTCTTCTCCTGTTTCTGCTAGCGCACAGGGAAGAAAAACAGTTGTCACTTAAGTTGTCTCAGGGCAGCAGGAAGCCCCGTTCAGGCCAGTTTCACCACTGGACATCCAGAACCAGATGTCAGGGCTCTGGGCTTTCCCCAGAGTGGGGGCGCCCGGAAAACAGATTCTGACAGATCTCTAAGCCTAACATCATGGCCTCTTTGAAGTCTGTAGGATTCCCACCAGGGAGGGGAAGGCAGTAGAAGTGCTCCCTGAAGTTTACAACAGTCACAAGCACAAAGACATTCCCACAACACTCACACAAACATTCGTGAGGTCTTCAGTGCACCTCACACCCCTTCCCGAAGAAATGGAAAGGGGCTTTTCTTCTTGAAAAGGCTGGAGACTCATGAGCTTGAGTGCCTAGCCCCCGCGGCACTCCTAAGCAGTCCCTTTTCACTCTGTTCTTTCTGTTTTGGGAAATGAGGCTGTGTTTCTTTGACAGCAGTGGTTTCCACACGTGGGTGGGCTCCCAGGGGTTCTCCGGACCCCATTCATGGGATCTGCTTTGCCTTGAACAGAACATTCCACGTTTATCTGTTTTATATATTGGGCCTCCAGATAAGATAAGATTTGAATAAAAGATTATAATTTTATTTTAGATCATTTTTGGCTGTCAATATAAACTTTGCAGAGGGGCTAAAAAGACTTAGCCATCAGAGCTAAAAAGCAGAATAACTTCAGAGAATGACCCTTAACAGGGAATGGAAATGAACCTTAAGTTCCTCCTGGCCTTCACGTTACAGAACTGACAGAGTTTCTTACATTCAACAGACAGTTAATAAATATAGGGTGATTATTTTATTTTGCCTAGTACCATGCAGAGACAACATTTAATAAATACAAAAATTATGCTGGTCTTCTTCCGGAGGTTTTTTTCCCAAAAAATTAGGGAATAGCTAGAACTAACAGTAAAACTTGGATTTCTGGCTCCTGTCCTGGGCTTTCACCTTCTGTTCTGAAGGTCACGGCCATCTGCCTTCATGGCATCTACTGTGACGCAGAAGGAAAAGAGGGAGAAGAGACCCTGTGGCTAGTCTGTACTCTAAGCCCCCAAGGCAGAGAAGCCACAATGGTTCACCATCCTCACTTAGTTCACATCTACAAAGAACTAGGTTTTTTTTTTGTAACTCTTAACCCCCATGGAGTCTGGGTGAACTTTCATGTGAAAACATTGTGTGCGTCCATGTGGAAACTGTCTCCACACAAATGTGTGAGGCTGACAGGTCCCTCCTCCCTCCTGACAAACAACGAACTCCATTTTTGGTAAATAGCAAAGACTTGGTCTGTAGCACCAAGTCTTCTGAATTTCAATAACTTGTATTTGGCAAAACTAAGTATATTCTGACACATCCAGCAAAGCAGCTGGCTGGAAAGTAAACGCTTTTCCCAGCGACTAGCAGAGTTGATTTTATTTCAAGGCCCGTGTGCAAGTCAGTGTCAGCAGCTCATTAGCCGGCTCACCGCGCTGAAGCATGGGCTGGTAGAAATGCTGAGAACCCCTGAAGGTCAAGAAATGTGCTGTCAGAAGCCTCTGCTGAAGAGAGAGTGGGGAGCAGGGAAAATGGGGTCCTCCTATGGTTCCTCACCTGACTGCTGCCCAAAGTTCTGTAAAAAGCCCTAGCAACACCCGACGAGAACCAGTGTGAGACATGCATCTATTAACCACTGCCCATTCATGGCCTCAGTCATCTCCTGAGGGTCTACTGTGAATGAGACATTTTGCTTGGCTCAGTACCTGAGGGTCAAAAGAACTCTTAAGCTTTATTTAGTCCATCCCCTTGCCTTATGGCCATGAGTGTGTGTTTTTTCCTTCTAGATGAAGGGACCTATTTTCCTTGCTCCACTGAAATCCCTTCAGGTCCAGCTGTTATCTGAGTCACAGCAGGCCTCAGAGGCCCCCAGTGCAGAGCCACGTGCAGCTACTACAACCAGGCAGAGGGGTGCCTCTACCACCTGACGGGCAGCTCGCAGCAGGACAGCCCTCCTTCTGCGCCTGACCAAGCCCTTCTGTGGAAAGTGTGGGTGTCCTGGCTGTCCTGCTGGGACCTGTGCAGTCCTGTGGTGCTGTCCTCCCAGTGTTGGCACCCCTGCTCATCCCATTCCAGAGGGATTGACACAAGATGTTCAGAGGGCACTTAACCACCCCTGCCCCGCAAACCCCACGGACTCAGTACCATACAATCCCATCATTTCGGTCTTTGCTTTTGGATTATATCATACGGTTTTCAGTTATGCCTTCCCAGGAAACAGTCATTTTTACCTTAGTTCAGCTTTCAAAATTCTTAGTCCCCAGGTATTCCAGGAGGGCAATAACTCCATGGGTTTCCTGTTAACTCAGCAATAACCTAAGACTGTACTTGCTTCAGTTTTTAGCTGCAGAGTCTGTTTCACTGGTTATGGGGTTATTACCTCTAGTACCCTCTACAGCATCACCTAATTAAATCAGACCTGGTGGTAAGAGGAAATGGTTTATCTGGTCTTCCTGCCACTAACATTCCTTATTCTGAGGCTGAAAGACAGTGGTGGCTTGGGGAGGTAACATATGCTACAGGATGGAATCTTTGCTTTGGGACTTAATCCTACGATCTAACAACACCTTTGTCTTTCTATATTCTATAACCCAAGAAAACCACTTATTTCTTGAGATCTAATTTGCTACGTCTCTGCACTAGGTCTAAAAATGTCATGTCCGTCCCTCTCCAGGAGGTGACGTGTAGATAAACTGAACCGAACCATGATGAACAAGACAGGAGACGTTGTCTAGGACTCACTCTGGAACACTGGTTTATACTTTCTACTAAGAAATACGTAGATAATCCATAACATTAATTGCTAGCATTCGGCCCATCAGGAATTGTTCACTGAACTATCAAGTTTTAATTTTAAGTTAAATGCTGATTAGAACCCTAAAATCAAATTAGAATCCAGGAGGCGGGCCGGCCCTGTGGCTTGGTGGTTAAGTGCGCGCGCTGCGATGCTGGTGGCCCGGGTTCGGATCCCGGGTGCGCATCGAGGCACCACTTCTCCGTTCATCCTGAGGCCGAGTCCCGCATACAGCAACTAGAGGGATGTGCAGCTACGACATACAACTATCCACTGGGGCTTTGGGGGGAAAAAAATAAAAGAAATAAAATCTTTAAAAAAAAAAAAAAAAAAGAATCCAGGAGGCTTCTCTCTTCCTGTCTCTGAGGGCCAATCTTGACTCCATCTCATGCCCCATCCCTCAGATCCCGTTTAGTCTGCCTCCTCATGTTCACCTGCCTCCCCATCTGTTTTCTTCCTCTCCCCCTTACCTGGGCCATCTTCTCGAGCTTGGATTTTATATCTGCTAGCTCCAGCTGGGCCTCCTGAAGTTTTGTCTTCAGTTTCTGGTTTTCGGTCAGGGCACTCTCGTAGAGCTGGGGGAGGGGACAGAGAGAAGCAGGTCACCTACTTGGCAGGGCTCCCAGATTTCCACAGACTCACAAAGTTTCATCACATGAGAACGCCCAGGTCCCTCTGCCCCAACTACCATTGTGGAGCACATGGAGAAGATGGAAGAGTCTAGGCAAAAAAAAAGGAGGAGATGTCCAGGAGACAGAAAACATGCAGCCAACTGGCCTCCTGCTTCTTAAACCAGTGAAGTCCTAGGTGCTGAACACACAGAAGGATGCTCTAACTTCAATAATGCTAATCTCAGGGGGAAGAACATTCCATTTTCTCCTACACGGCATTTGCCTTGCTTAAAAATGTGGTTTCCGGGCCGGCCCGTGGCTTAGCGGTTAAGTGCGCGCGCTCCACTGCTGGCGGCCCGGGTTCGGATCCCGGGCGCGCACCAATGCACCGCTTCTCCGGCCATGCTGAGGCCACGTCCCACATACAGCAACTAGAAGGATGTGCAACTATGACATACAACTATCTACTGGCGCTTTGGGGGGAAAAAAAAATGTGGTTTCCCATACAAAAAAGCATTATTTTTTTAAGGCAGCCTAGTGTGTATATTGATTTTAGTCAAGTTCTGCCTTACAAAACATTAACAAAACAAATATTTTCTTAACAAAAATGTTTTTTCCTGGCATCTCAAGCACTTGAAAGGCAAGGTTTTCAAGTCCGCCCCTGGAGCTAGGTACTCTTCTGCAAGAACTAAAGAAAATGAACCATAAAGTGACTTAAATCCCCTCCAAACCAGATTATTATTATTTATTATCACCAACAAGTATCTGGCTGCTATTCAAAGGACCTCATTAAAACCGTGTGTTTCTTAGAAAGATCAGAGTCTACCAAATGATTCTCAGGGGTGCAGACAAACAGCATTCCTTTTATTTCCCCTTTTTACAATTCTTAATCCTTACTTTTTCCTACACCTCTAAATATCTGACTCTGGGCATATACCTACTGCACTAAAAACAATATAGGAAGGACTCTTTATTTAGGTAGAAAGTGGAGCTAACCAAGAAACCTGCAAGGAGCTGGTTGGTACTAGTCATCACGTAAGCTCCTTTTCTTCTGCTTCATCAGAACTATACCCATTTTTCCACACAGGGGACAAGGCTAAGAGGTTTACGTGTTGTAACCCAAGAACAGGAAAATTGAAAAAAGACTCCACTTTTTTATAGTCCCTGTTGCTGTCTTCTTCCACACGGCTGGTCAGGGTGGCCAGACGGGCCTCCCGGGCCTCCCGGCGGGCTCTTGCTGAGGTCCGGTCACCATAAGAATCACTGGTTGTCGGGTTACCACCTCCCGATTCCAACCTGTGGGAGACAATTAAAGGTAAAAATTGGTTTTGAGAACAAAGAACTGAGGGAAGGTAACACCTAAGGGAGTCTGCCCCTATTCTAAGCAGCACTTGAGAGCTCTGCCCAGAAACAACGCACAGCATTCCTCCCTTGAAGCTCCCTGGGCCAGCAGACCCGGGCCTCAGGGCTAGACTGTACCAGCCTGGAGCAGGAGGCTGTCATGTGCCAAGAATGGAGCTTATTTGAAAAACTGGTGGTTTGGACCCATGTGCTGACTTAAATATTACAGCTTTTCAAATTAGTTTAGGGTTGAACAGCTTCCCTCAAGAGTGTGCTTTTAAAAGCAAAAGTTTCTTGGATCTCAACAGCTCTTAGAAAATGATTCCAACAAACTGTCAATGAATCAGAAACATATGGCCTTGGAGTTCTGAGCTGGAGGCTGATTGGGGCAGGCATGGCAATAGGGCATGGTACATTTCAGGGGTGCCACCACTGTGCCCAGACAGCCAGTATCCCACCTCTTATCAAGACTGTTATAACTGTAATTAGGATTTCTATATCCTCTAGCAATGGAATCTCAGAGTTAACAGTGGTTTTATTTCCAGTACTGGTGAGTTCATTAACGGAAGGTTTCTCAGTGTAAGTGTACAACTGTCATCCAGATCCTTAACACTGGTTTATATTTTTCTGGGACTTTGCTCTTTCCAAACTAAAATGTGACACATGAAGCTGCTACGTACAACCCAGCCCTGCAGAGCTCTACATTCTCGACCTGGGATGGTGTGAAGAACCACAGCTGTGGAACTTCCTCTACTGTCTCTGGCCTGTGGCAGCTACTGCCAGAGGTAGGGGTGGGAGCTGAAGTAAGTACTAGAAGAGGAAGAGGGGCAATGAGGAAGAGGAAGAGTCCCTAGTGACATGAGCAGCCACTTTTCTGTACAGACATGCCAAGTCCTATCACACTCCTACAACATTCTTTTTCTTCTTGTACTTTTTTTTTTCAATTTTGAAACTAGAAATCTCGTTACTGACTTCCCTGATTACAAAAGCAATACGTGCCCGTAGAAAAATTTAAGTAGCACCAAATTTAAGCACTAAAATAGGAAGTGAAAGTCACGCCATAATCCTGCCCAAGAAAGAACCACTGTGAACAGTTCAAGTCACATCCTCGCAGGATGCTGAACACATAAACATGTTAAAACACTACACGTTTCTATAAATAAAAGTAGATACCACAGACTGTTGTCTAACTCTTTCTCCTCCTCCTCCCTACACTGGTCACAATGACGTGGGTATCTTACCAGGTCAGTACAAGCGGATCTCCCTCAGTTTTCTTTAAATGACTACATGGTCTTCAACTGTATGGCAGAGAGATAATTTAATCCTCCAATGACAGACACTCAGATTGTCTTGAATTTTTTAGCTACTATAAATAATGCTACAACGAGAAGACTTATCTAATCTCAGAGCATTTCCCCAATTGTTTTCTTAGGATAAAATCTTAGAAGTGGAACTGTTTGGTCAAGGGGTAAACATATTTTCAACGCTGATATATATATTGCCTTACTGTCCTCCAGAGAGGTTTAATCCTTTCCAATCCAATAGGAGAAATCTCTCATTGTCATTAATTTTAACATTTCTAAATCATTAGAGAGGTTTAATATCTCTGGTTATTTATCTTTCTTTGTTTCTGAATTGCCTACTCACAGCCTTTCTTAATCTTTTTCTTGCTGTATTGTGGGAGTATCCTATATCCTATGGCTTTTAAAACTATCTAACATTGGTTGCAAATATTTTTTCCCACTTAACTTTTTGTCTCTGTTTATGGTGTCTTTCACTAGCAGAGATTTTAAATTTTATATAATTAAAATTTACAATTTTTGCTTTTAATGGTATCATGCTCGGGAAAGTCTTTATATAAAGATTATAAATATCCTCTACTCCTACCTTTGTCGTAAAATCTTTTTCTCTTAAAAATTGTAATCCCGGGGCTGGCCCAGTATCATAGTGGTTAAGTTTGCAGACTCCGCTTTGGCAGTCTGGGGTTCACAGGTTCGGATCCTGGGTGCGGACTGACGCACTGCTTGTCAAGCCATGCTGTGGCGGCATCCCATATAAAGTAGAGGAAGATGGGCATGGATGTTAGCTCAGGGCCAATCTTCCTCAGCAAAAAAGAGGAGGATTGGTCTCGGATGTTAGCTCAGGGCTGATCTTCCTCAGCAAAAAGAGGAGGACTGGTATCGGATGTTAGCTCAGGGCTAATTCTCTTCACACACACACACAAAATTATAATCGCTTTGAAATCTGGGGGTTTTTTGGTATGGCTTCAGGGAAGGATCTGCTTTCCCCAAACAGAGTCAACTGTCCCAGTGATCACTTACTGAATAATTCTTTATTAAGCTGAAAAGTCACCCTATACACAGGACTTTTGGGGGGCTATCCACCGTGTTCCATCGATCTCTGTTTATTCTCTAACTAGCACCTCACTGCTTTTTTTTTTTTTGCTGGGAAAGAGTTGCCCTTAGCTATCATCTGTTGCTAATCTTCCTCTCTCTCTCTCTCTTTTTGCTCCCTAAAGTCCCAGTACCCAGTTGTATGTTCTAATTGTAGGTCCTTCCAGTTCTTTTTTTTTTTTAATAATTTTATTTATTTATTTTTTCCCCAAAGCCCCAGTAGATAGTTGTACATCATAGCTGCACATCCTTCTAAAGTTGCTGTATGTGGGATGCAGCATCAGCATGGCTGGAGAAATGGTGCGTCGGTGGGCGCCTGGGATCCGAACCCGGGCCGCCAGCAGCGGAGTGCGTGCACTTAACTGCTAAGCCATGAGGCCAGCCCTAGGTCCTTCTAGTTCTATGTGAGCCGCTGCCACAGCATGGCTACTGACAGACAGATGGTGCGGCTCCACGTCCAGGAACCAAACCCAGGCTGCCGAAGTGGAGTGTGCTGAACTTTAACCACTACGCCATCAGGGCTGCCTCAGTACCTCACTGCTTTAATCGTTATAGTTTTATAGAATATTTTGAGGCCTGTCAGAAAAGTCATTATAATGTAACTAAGTTCACAAAAAATTAACTATAGCAAAATATCACTCTCCACCAATTTTACAAAACTAATTTTCTGCTAGGTTCTATGTGAATTATTTATCCTCCGCTGGTGCCTGGTGAGAGAGTAAGCAGAGGAAGAATACATGCAAGCTTGTAAATTTTAAAATACATTAATAAGGTAGAACTAGTTCAATTATCAAAGTAGGAGACTCATTTGCCCTATGCTGTCCCATTAACTACATCTTCCCCAATCTCGTCTTATTTCTCCATCAGAGGAACAGTGGAAGAGGCGAGATTCAAACTTTTGGCTACACAGTCTCTATTATTTATTCTATTCTTCAGGAAGATCAGTTTTGTACCCTTAGGTTCTAGGTGAAAAATTACAGAGGATCATTCCCCAAACTTGGATATGTTTCTTTAAACAGCAATTGCAAAACAGGTCTTTCATTCATGAAATAAATTATTACTGAGCACTATCTGGTACAAGGAATTGTGTTGGATCCACTATGAAATGACAGTATCTAAACTCAGTCTCAATTTAGGCATCTACTCAGTAATGAAGTCTCTCCCGAACCGCCAGATTAGGTTAACCGCCTCCTCTCTGCTCATGTGCCTGTCCACACTTCCGTCTGGGCACTTACTACATCCTACTGAAATCATCTGTCTCTGCAGTCATCTGTAAGCCATGTGAAGGTGAGGACAGCGTCTTACTGATGCTGTTGCCCTAGCACCTGGCAGCATCTGGCACACTGGTGCTTTAGGAAAGTGATGCAGTGGAAGCATACAGAATGAACCAGAGGGAGAAGGGTCTGCAGGCAGGAGGGGGAGCTGAAAGGCTACAGCGTGACTTTAGGCAGGGGATAACAAAAGTCTGCATTACTGTGGTGGCAGTGGAAATAAGAAGGAAGGACAGGGTGTGAGAAACACTACTAAACTATATACAGCTAAGTTTAATTACACATGCATTTACTCACAAGTATTAAGCATGCATATAAAACAGGAAAGTTCTTACCTAGAAAGTCTTTCATGCTAGAGAAACGAAGAGACAAAAACAAAAAACAAAAACAAAACCAGTGTTAGCGAGGGACTGATATTTATTATTTCCATTTATAAATGCACTTTTTAAACCAGATGTCTCAACTTCACCGTTGGAGGTGGGGGTGCAATTTAAGGAAAGCAACTCAACTGACTGCACAAAAGGCACTCAGCCCCAGCTCGCCCTTCTCTGGACCCATGACTCACCAGACTTGAGGCTTTGTGAGAGCACCTCGTTAGACTCAAAGTCACCAAAACGTAAACTGATCAGAAACTGCACACAGCACCCCCCAAACTCACAAGCCATCCTCGTGTGGTAGGAGTGACTAACCTGTGTGACATTCAGCCTCTCTGGTCTCAACACCCATTCCATCAACTTCCTGCAGCTCACAAACCCACAACCCTGTCCTGAGTGAATACTGCAGTTTATAAACACTAACTCAGGACGGCTCCTGGCCTTCTCCCAGACCTCTAGTGAAAGTGGAAGGGTGAGGAGTGCGGGGAGAGGGAAAGCCCCATCCTAGTCCCTGGGATGCTGGTAAAAAAATGAACAGGATGAAAAAGTACTCTGAGGTCTCAGAACAAAGGAGCTGGTTACCTATGCAAACAACTGTAAACAAACAACAAAAAAACCGACTGTGTTTTATATTTATCTTTTAATCACAGATGACCTTTATCCTCTTAACTCTACTTTTTTTTTAAAAAAGAACTCAGGCAAATAAAAACTCAGCTGACTTGAATGTATTGACTTATTTTCTCTTTTGAGGTGTTAAAGAACAACAAAGTCCTCAAGGACAGACAGAAGAAGGAAGAGAAACAAGGGCCAAGAATCGACAAGATGAACAATGAATCCTGGAGCTACGGAGTTGCTGCTCAGTTTAACAGTCCCTGGAAGCCACTGGTCTGTCAACACCACAGCTTCACTGCCCAGGGGAGAGTGTGTGCAGCACGTCTGGCCACAGAGGGACTGGACACGTGACCTTGCTAACAGGTGGCTTTCTCCATGGGATTCTATCTTTGTGTGTGTGTGTGAGGAATATCAGCCCTACGCTAACATCTGCCAATCCTCCTCTTTTTTTTTTTTTTTTTTTGCTGAGGAAGACCGGCCCTGGGCTAACATCTGTGCCCATCTTTCTCCGATGGGATTCTATCTTTAAATCAGGGTTACAGTCATCAGAATTCTCTCATGTACTTTTTCAAAATGGACACATTCTGGGGCCGGCCCGGTGGCACAGTGGTTAGGTGCCCACGCCCCACTGCGGCGGCCCGGGGTTTGCCAGTTCGGATCCCAGGCGCGCACTGACGCACTGCTTGGCAAGCCACGCTGTGGCGGCGTACCATATAAAGCAGAGGAAGATGGGCACAGATGTTAGCCCAGGACCAGTCTTCCTCAGCAAAAAAAGAGGAGGATTGGCAGATGTTAGCTCAGGGCTGATCTTCCTCACAAAAAAATAAACCCAAAAAACAAAATGGACACATTCTAACCTCATTCCTGGAAATTCTATCAATAGGTCTAGGGAGGGCTCTCTCGTGTGTATTTTCAAAAAGCCCCCCGGTGACTCTGCTGTACAGCCCTGGTTAAGCACCACTGGACTAAACCAAGGCTTTTTAACGTGAAGACATGTCCCATTTGCGATGCGGGAGGCAGTAACAAAAGTATATGGTGTACCTTTGAAATTCGCATACACTTGGAGTCGAGTATCCTAAAACTTTCAAATTTGGAATTCAGGAATTTTCCTCTTACTTGATGTCTTTTTTCAAAAATGCAACTAAATTTTAGCCACCTCTCAAGAATTATTTAATATGTAAAAATGCTTCAAGTATACTCAAGTGAAACTGAGATACTAGGCTGTTGGCTATGCTCACTCACCAGCTTTGTGATAAGATCAAGCCTTTAAGGCATCTGGGTGAATTACAATTCACAACCCAGGAAAACTAAATTGTGATGTGCCAAAGATTTGTGAATAACTGAGACCAAACTGCATACTAGCAAATGCCAACGGTCTACTGAATTTAAGAGACCACTGTGTGCAGAGCCCTGCAGGGGAGGCACCAAGGAAGAATAAAAAGAATAAGCTGCATGATAGAGCCAGGAGAGCACCGTGAACATAATTAACAAGCTAGTCTGAAGCAATGCAGTGGAAATGTGAATAAGTGCTATGGGAGGTAACAGTGGTAACCAGCGGGCTCCAAATAGGAAGGCTTCCTAAAAGAAATGAATTCGGAGATGATGTTGGAGAAATACAAACACACATACACAACATACATACATTTTAAAAAACATATTGTTATGGGAAGTTTTCCTAAAATGTCCTGGTTTGTGATCCACCCACTATCTCATTCCCAGCTACACCCCAATGCCTACCGTGCCAGAACATGACAGGTGCTCCATAAACACTGAGCTGAACCTGTTAATGTTTCTGGGAAGGCGTGTGATGGCCTTGGCGGGACCTGAGCTCTAACTCCTGCTCTGCTGTCGTCTAGCCGTGTGACCGTGGGCAAGTTACTGCTTTCTCTTACAGTAAGAATTAAATGTGATAACTATGAGGAAGCCCACTCTTAAAATGTCAGCTTCTTCCCCTGCCACCCACCTCCATGACTTTTTAGTTGTAAAAATACTACATTGGCTGTTGATGCTGGTTAGAGTAGTGAGTTAACTTAGGATCTCTGATGCAGGAGGGACTTGAGCTCGCATGCAACCAAATGAGACAACCATTTAGGAGACCACTTGCTTTCTCTTGCTGCTTCTAGGCAGAACAACCTTTTTCAAACGACATTATCCATATGGGGAAACCATTCTTGACGGTCTCTCCTAAGATGCGTGGTGTACACTCTCTCTTAGGTATGGAAAATGAACCATTTATCATGAAACTGGTCTGCCTCGTGCCATCTTTTGCTTCCTCCTACTGAAACATAAGCTCACTTCCCCATGGTGTGCACAGACTGAGGCCTGATTAACTTCCTGACAAATCAGGTCTATTTATTGACTTTGTTATTCCTAAAATGTGGGACCTCACTTGAAAATGTTTGTTTTAGTTTCCTCTTTGTAAGTATCTAACTTGTTGGGTAACATTTTAGCTACATCTTCAGCTTTAAATTCTGCCACGCAGACTGTGGCAATCGGCTCTACAGGGAAGAGACAGCTTTTCTTTTCACGAAGACAGGGAAACTAGGATTTTACCAGGTATCAATCTCAGCTATTATATGTATATATCGAAGCATGCTAATCATTCCATTGATTTACTCCTATAAGAAGGACTTAACCTTTTTCATTTAGAATGATCTGGAAGTACTATGAAGCCATTTATGCTCTGTCATCACACTCAAGAAAGTTCTCAGATAAGTGACAGTATGGTATGGCTGTGTAGACTGCATGGCCCCCACTGAGGAGGTTGATGCAATACACAAACACTTAAAAACTTAAAAACAGGGGCCGGGGCCGGCTCTGTGGCTTAGCGGTTAAGTGCGCACGCTCTGATGCTGGCGGCCCGGGTTCGGATCCCGGGCACGCCCCAAGGCACCACTTCTCCGACCAACCCGAGGCCGAGTCCCACATACAGCAACTAGAAGGATGTGAACCTATGACATACAACTATCTACTGGGGCTTTGGGGGGAAAAAAATGAATAAATAAAATCTTTAAAAATAAAAAAAATAAAAAAAATAAAAAAATAAAAACAGGGGCCGGCCCGGGGTTCGCCTGTTCGGATCCCGGGCGTGCACCGACGCACCGCTTAGCAAGCCATGCTGTGGCGGCATCCCATATAAAGTGGAGGAAGATGGGCATGAATGTTAGCCCAGGGCCAGTCTTCCTCAGCAAAAAAGGAGGATTGGCAGATGTTAGCACAGGCCTGATCTTTCTCACCAAAAAAAACCCAAAAGACAAAAAAACTTAAAAACACAAAAAATAGGGATTAGCACTATCAAGGAGCAATCAGAAAAAGCCCGTGGGTTCCTGGATATGAAAAGGCAGATCCCACAGGGTTTTTAAGAGGCCTGAATTAATTTTCCCACCAATGACAGCGTATGAGGAAGGTGATGCCAATGGCGCTCATACCTGTGGTTGCCACATCAGCTCTGGCCCCTGTGGGTGAACGGCAGGAGACGCTTCCTAAGGAAGCTGGGGAAAGACACTCATTTCTGCTTGCCAGGAGTAACTAAAAGCAAACATCACAGTCTGCTGTTTACCTTTTTTTTTAGGCATGTTAAGACCCGTGTTATCTATTTCTTTTGGGGTAAATTTTTATAAAAATGTGTAGGTGGTGAGTGCTCTGGCAGACAAGATAGTAGACAATGCAGCGAGACCCAGATATCAGAGGAAACAGGACTTCCAGGTTAATCCTATATCTTTCCTCACGACTTCTAACACCTCCAGCTTTTACCCGACTTTTGGATCAATCCAGAATCCTTGGGATTTTTATTATTGCCTTCAAGGGCTAGCCTTAGCTATGTCCTGAGAAAATCAACCCAAACAATCAGAGAAGAGCATATAAACCTCATACGACGAGATCTGGATGCAGGAGAGGTAACACAGTTACCATAATGCGAACCATATTATTTCAAAGAAGGAAGACAACTGGGACTTCTAAAGGAGATGGTGTTCTCACTGTAATGGAAATGGTTTCCTTTAAGTCTTTTAGCCTAAGAAGAGTGTTCTTACAGGCTTGGAAGACAAGGTAGCTTAAAGGTATACAGGACTTAGGGTTCAATTCCCCAGCTTCTGATAAACTGGCTTAGGTTTTCAGATCACACTTCCTGACTTTCACTGGTGGAATACCTCTAGAAACTACTGTTTTACTTGGCTTCTTGATATCCTAGATAATCTGGGGTTTGATAAGAACACACTGCTAGATTTAGGGAGAGAAAAGTTTGGGTTTCTTGGGTAAAAGGAGCAGAGGTGCTGAACTGATGGAGGAGACAACTTCCCTTCTTCCTCCTCATCCTGCTATCACTCAAACAGCACAGTTCTCTGTTCCACTTGCACTGCTTCTAAAA